AGCGAACAGTTTGGCGAAGCGAATGGTTTGTGAACGCATCTAAAATACGCGTTAATAGTGTTCGCTTGTACCAGCTTGTGCAAGTTCTTTGCATCGCGAATACTCATAATGCCTTCTCGGGCTCCTATTCGCTTCGCCAAACCGTTCGCTTCGCCAAATTCATTCGCTTCGCAAGTGATAATACCACTCTAAATGCCCGATAACGGACTGAGGCCGATCGACTTCGTCGGTTCCGAAACATGGCAGTATCTATTACTAGGTAGCCGGACATCAGTAGCGACGATTACGTTTAAGTCAAGACCCGCTATCTTCACTTAGCTAGTAAGGTATAATGGTGATACTGCTGTTCACCATTTCCAAAAAAGTTATTGACGTCTTCATGGCATTCGGTACATCAGAAGAGACTGCAGAAAGTGGAGAACGATCTATCGCTCAATACTCTAGGCTAAAATAGCCATTGCTGGCACCTCCCGACACCCGTTCCGGCACTTACTATACTTAAGTATTAATGTTATGCTGCTCGGAAGATATCCGCTCACACCAGAATATCTCTTCTTAGGTTGCCAGTGAGCACCAGAAGCACCTTGATTAATCTTTAGTGGGCCTTACATATATTGCGAAGAAGTTGTTCTCAGCACCACCCTTCCGTTGTTACAATACGTTGTATCTTTTAAAAGCGGTTTAAGATCCCATACTACTGCTAATTATGGACAAAGGTATCAGCGCGCTGCCGATAGACCAGCCTGCAGGCCTTTTGGCTATTTTTCAACATTGCAATTCTACAGAAGTTTGTTGGCGAAGGTAACTTCAAAGTATTTCTAGCAGTGTTTCGGTTAACACCGCAAATTCAGTTGATTCCATGCTTCATTGTGAAAACTATTATGTCTGCTTCATCAGCGTTCACCTCTAGTCTTGATTGAATAGTCCAGTGAGCGATTGTGACTGAGCTGGGAAATGAATTTACGATGTTTCGATACTTCACATCCATCTGGGAACGCAACTACCTACCTTTCCGGTAAGTTTCTTTAGTAATTCGCTAGTTAGAAGTAGCCAGAGAAACGGCCACAGCACGAGCCCTTGTGCCGTAGTCTTACATGCTTTTTCGGAAAACTTGACTTGAGTCCACTCCGCGGTCTAATTTCATTTTTCGATCGCGACTCAATTTCACTTTTCAAAATGATTTATGCCTGCGCAAAAATTCCGTGGTCAGCGTGTGGCCAACGCAGAAAGGCGTTTTACGCAAAAGCACTGTGGATGGCGTACTCCGGAGTTTATATTTTATCTGTCAAAATGCCAACTTTACCCCATTTTCCAATGTGTCCCAGTGGTTTGTAGAGGGGTCAGAGAGAGGAATGGCGACTTTTATTCCCCGTCCGCCGTCCGCCACAAAACCATTGTACAGATAACCGAACATTTCCCAATTAATTTTTTGGTTGCGGCTTAATTTCACTTTTCAAAATGAATCAAAACTACGCGTTCTAATTAAATTTTTTGATTGCAGTTTTAATACACGCGGCCATAATTCACGGAGCCATGTTTGAGGGGTACTATTTGAGTTTGGGCCAGAATAAGAACTTGTATTGGTTTTAGCACAAAAATTATATTCGGTGAATGGCACTGTAAATGATTTTAACTAAATATTTTTACTAAGGAATTATAAGGTGCCGACGTGAAATAAGTTACGTGCTTTTCATTGGAAATATAAACTAAAATCATCTACATGGTTACATACCTACATATATGAAATATGGTTTGTTTCGAAAAAAGATTCTGGTTTGAGGCAGCTAACTAAATTTTCTGGACATAATCAGAGCTAATTACATGTTGCTGTGAGCTATGTATACCAATTTACTTTCAACAATACGTACATATGTATACCATAAGACCGGATTTGTTGCCATATAAAAGACAAAAGTTTAGAGGTGGCCCTAGTTTGAACAGGCTTTGAAAGAATTTTAGTGTCATACGAACAGCAGAAATCAAGATCTTTTCAATTTTTGTTTATATATGGCCATCACCCCAATTACGAGTGTCGACTGGTAGTAGATAAACGACTATTATTCGATTATCGCTTTTTCATGGTATTGTGAATGTCGCTGTCAATAAGTCAGTGTGGATAAATTATAGGCGCTCATCCTTCTACAAATAAACAGTTGAAGAAGGATGAGTGACTAAAAACTATTCACAGTCGCTTATTGGACGAGAAATCGACATTCACAATACCATGAAAAAGGGATAACCGAATAATAGTCGTTTATTTACTACTAGTCGACACTCGCAATAGGGGTGATGGCCTTATGGGCGCGTTAAAATTTGGATAATTCAAATTACTGGTCCCAAAGTCTGTTATGACACCTGCGGGGGTTTCAGTTATACCCATTTTTTTCGAACGTCTCTGCGTTCGCCGTAGAAAATATTGAGAGGTTCGTAACCTCTAGCGATCTTAGATGGACTTCCGCAAATTCTGTAAAATCGGTCATTATTTTTCTTTGACTGATATGTCTCTGTATTAATTTCCTAGGCGCGCTAAATCTGATGACATTGGTGCGTACAATTTTTCTTGCGTATGAACCTCTTAGAAGAAAGTTTAGTAACATGTTAAGCGCTTTGATGACGGTCGTCTGTATTGCCTTAGTTCTAAGTAGGGAGCCCTACCGTAGCACTTCGCTAACTTTCCTTGCGTTATTCCTTTTATTGAGAACATCCCACAAAACTGCGAAACCATAGAAGAAGATAGCTCCCACCGCTATCTTAAGGTAACCCAATTTCTGGAACGGATAACAAATTGCAAAGTCCTTGGACTAAATGTATCAAGCTCAAAGGAGACTGTGCTGAAAAAGTCATCGACTTATAAAACTCACTTCGCAGAATCCGAAATAATGACTCCTATAATAAATGAAACCTAAAAATATATATCTTTTTTATATTTATGCATATATTTTAAACGTAAACGCATGTACATACATATATACATATGTATAGTATATGTATAAGCAAGTACATACACTTGTCATTCGAAAAAAACTTAATAAAGTTAACTACATGTACATATTTATATGTATATTTATAATGGATGGAATGTAGGACCTTTAAACGACCTTATCTATATGTTTTGAAAA